CCAACGGTAATAGGCATTTTACCTATCTAAATATTACTATAAAGTATATATTTTATTTTGCCTATCAACTGTTTTATGTTTTTATTCCAACCATGCTCTTTATTTTAGCTATTAATCCAAATACTATTAATTTTATAGAATGTCACGTCAACAACAAAGATGGAGGGAAATGATCCTAATGATTGAATACATTTTGCCTAGCGTTGAAGGCTAGCTACATGTAGCTAGTGAATATGAATTGAGCCAAAATGCCTAATCATATGCCTAGTGCGTTGGAATTGAAAAAAGTGAATCACACTAGGCATTTTAACTAACAAGTATGATATGCCTAGTGCATTGGAGATGCTCTTATGACATTATTATTGACCCCACTCATTAATTACATTACAAATTTTAAAAATTTCTTAAATTATGCCATATCATCAATTGATACATTAATTAATATATCAATTGGTACATATAGAATTACTCTATTTGATATTTACTTTGACTTGATTTTCAATATAGTCAACTGAATAATAAAAAAATTCAAATAATTTGAAATGACTCCAACTAATATTCCCCAGCCCTCTTTAAACGACCCAATAGATTTTTGAATTGTGATAGTATTTTTCTAATCAACAATTGAAACTGAAACGCATCCCCACTTTATTTTATACACCAAATAATTGTGTATGTGTAATTTCTTTGCAAATATTATAAAGTGATTTTTGATAAAATTAAAAATTAAAAATTAAATTGAATTTTTTAATCAAAAAATGATTTAATAGAAAATTAGATACTGACTAAAAAAATTTATTTAATATGTATAAGATGAGATTTAAAATTTATAGCTCTAATGGTGGCGGCAATGGCAATTTAGTAATGGTGGCATAATTATGGAGGTGGTCATGGTAGCGGTGGTTACTTACAATTTTTTTTTTAATTTTTGGTTTATATTTTAAAAGTTACTTAATTTTTAAATAAAACAATTTGTATTATCAAATGAGTTTAATTAATTTTCATTTAATACATTCAAGTTTAATGACTAACTGAGTTATTAAACACCACCCAAGTTAGTTCCATTTAAAAAAAAATAAATAATAAAAAAGAAACACATTCTTAGCCTCCGTTTGGGAAGTGGGTTGGCTTTTTGGCCTTTTGGCTTTTTTGGCTATTTTAGCCTGGGCTTAAAAGCTTGGTTTGGGAAGGGCTTTTTGACTTTTTGGCTTTTTTGAGTTTTTTTGTAAGAGAAAAATGTAATGATTATGGGTTGGATGTGATGTTTTGTTTGTTATGGCTAAAATAGCCTATTTTATTTTTTGTGACTAAAATAACCAAAAAAATCTGCAAACCCACTTGCCAAACACAGGCTTATTTATTTATGGGGGATGCACCAATAAATCCAAAATTAATAACTTATACACTGTTTAGTCCTAAAAGTTTTCTTATAGACTGAAAGGTCCCATTACAATGTTTCAAACATCAGATTAATGTTTCAAACATTAGATTTCGAACATCAGATTAATGTTTCGAACATTAGATTTCAAACATCAGATTAATGTTTCAAACATTAGATTGATGTGCAAATGGGACTAAATGGAGCATAAGAAAACTTTTAGGACTAAATGGTTCAACTTTTCAGAAACTAGGACTTATGGGTAAATTTTCCATTATTTATTTTGATAGCATTTTGTTTCACTTTTACTTACTAATCAATCTTAGGCCTCGTTTGGCAAGAGGCTATTTTAGTCAATTAGTCAAAAAGTTACTAAATTAGCCAAAAAGCCAACAACCCATACCAAAAAGTCAAAGATTCTCTTTTCTCTCTACTTTTTGCACATCTTTTCGTAATTAGTCAAAAAGTCATCCCAAACATACAAGTTTTTTTTACCTACTTTTTTAACCAAATAGCCAAAAAGTTACTAAATTAACCTGTTCCCAAATGAGGCCTTAATATATTCAAATGAAATAAGTAGCTATTTGAGTCGGCCGCCTACCAATGGGAACCTAAAGGTTTTTCAGACTTCAGATTATTAAAATAAGACATTATTTATTAGGTTTTTGAAAAATTGAAATCTTTAACAATAATTATTTCTTGAGAGTTTTTAGTAAGTTTTATTAAGTGGACGTGATAGCACTTTCGTTTGTACTATATGATGTAAGCGGCTATTTAAGACGCAATTTTGATACTACGTTAAAGCATGCAATTCAAAATCAATTAGTAATGAGGGGAGAAGTTCTTACATTATATTAACCAAGTTTGGATGACTTAGATTGACGATAGAAGTTTAAATCTAATAGTATAGATAATTTTTCAAATTGTAATTGCTTAGAATTTAAGTAGCTGATTCAAACATTTGTTATGATTCTTTATGGGTAAATTATATTTTGTCTCCTTTATATGACATTTTCTATTTAATTTTAAATAGAAATTAAGTTTAGGAATAAACTAGGAAAAAACTTGAAATATAAAGAGTCAAAATAAAAATTATAAGAGCCAAAATAAAAAAAGGGCTCAAATAAAAAAGGAGATAAAGTGTAATTTACCCATTTTTTATTTACCTAAAAACACTTATGATCAAATAGTTTTTTTTTTTTATTGTTTTTTTGTTTTATTACTATTCTACTTACACCAGCTTTAAAAAAAGTATATATAGATAATTTGTCAGATGTTAACCGCCGGCAAAGGAGAAATCTGTAATCTGCAATTTGCACCATTTGCACGTAGTAAGAAAATGATTTCGTATGAAACAATTATGATGTGAATTATGATATTTTGTAATAAAGTCATGAATAATAAATTTATGATGTGTATCTTAAAGTTAGAGATAATAATGTTATGATATTTTATGATTTTTATTATGACATTTTATAATTTTGTTATGATATTATATAGTGAAAAAAAAGTTTTATAATAAAAAAGTTACGACATTTTGTGTTAAAGTTATGAAATTTTGAGTTATTTTAGGAAATTGATAAAAAGTTTGTTTTTTAATTTTTTAAATTTTTTTTAAAAAAACACATAAAAAATAAATAAAAAGATGATATGACCTAAAATAAATTAAAAATTAATTTTTTAACTTTTAATCAAATTTCTAAATTAAACTAAAGTTATGAGAAACATACAATATATACGTTTTTGAAGGATTGTGACATCTCCGGCCTAAAAAATTTTTAGGGTTTGTTTGTTTGGACGGACTGGATAAAAATGATTAGAATTCACTAGACTGTTAGTCTTAGAATACATTATTCCTAAACTATTTAGTTGGACTAGATTTGTATCCTATGTTTATTTAGTCATGGGATTACATGTCAAGAAATGATTATTTGGTTAGATAAGATATGAATCCTACGTTTATTTGGAATATTATGGAGAATAATAAATGTTCAAATGACTATTTTACCCTTTTCAATTATTTACTAAGTAATAGCAATATTAAACATATCTTTAATATTTTAATTATTTTTAGCTAGATTAAATAAAAATTTATTTTATTTTATTTTTTACACAATTAAATAAATTTATTTTTTAAAAATTAAATAAATAAAATATCAATAAAAATATATGTTATTTTTTAATTAAAATTTTAAATAAATTTATTTTAAAAAATAATAATAATTAAATAAATTATCTATTAAATTTAAATAATGAAATTAAATAAAATTTAAAGAAAATTTTAAAATAAAACGTCAATAAAAAATTATTTTAAAAAATTAAATAAATAAAACATCAATAAAAATTAAATAAAATTATTTTATTCTTAAATTGAGACATTTAATTTTTATTAAATTTTACTAAATATAATACATAATTAAATAATAAATAGTCAAAATGATCATTTCACCCTCTTATTCCATATCCCCTTATTCCTCATTTGTGTCCCAACCCCCCACGGGATACAGTCCTGTTTGGTATAGCTGTTAAAACAGATTATAGATTATAACTTAACAAATTATAGATTATGACTTTAATTAGAAGTTATTAATCTGTTTAATGTAACTGTTGGATTATAGATTTAAGTTTCTGAGTAGTGTTTGTTAAATAAGTTGTAAAATAATTTTTTTAATTAACTTTCATTTTTTATTATTCACTACTTATCTACATTTCTCATAAAAAATAATAATAATAATATTCTATAATCCATTTGGGTCTTTTTTTATTTTTTAAAAAATAAAAAATAAAAAAATCTAATAGTAGTATAACCATAAATTAACATGTTTACAGTAGAAATTGATAATTAAAAACAAGGGGTGAGTAGCTTCTCAGAATCAACTTTTCTGACTCAAAATAAATTGTTGGAATCAGAAATTATTTGAAATAAGTTTAACCAAACTGTCTAAAATAACTTTTCAAAAGTCAAAAGCCATAAGTTGAGTCAGAAAAATCCAAACAAACACCCTCACAATAGTCCTACATATTTGGAACTGATAGTCTGGAGAGACTGTTAGTCCAGAGTAAAATTAAATAACCAAACAATAGACTAGGGATTATTAATCCAATCTCATAATCTTATCTCTCAAAACAAACTCCACCTAATAGTAATATTTTTAAAAATATTAAAAATATATAATTGCCTAATTTGGGACGCAATGGACCATGCGTGTGTGTGTCAACGCAGTAACTTCAAACGCAACACAAAATTTTCACAGTAAAATACATTATTAAAATCATCGAATCCAGAAATAGAAATTGAGTAATGCTACGTATCCTAAAAATTAGAAAAATATTATAAACATCAATAAATATATTAACTAATGTATGAAATAGATAAAGTGACATTATTTAAAAAAAATTTAATATTTGTAATGTAATTAATAAATGAAATCAATAATAATATCATAATTAATATTAATATATTAATTGATACATTTAACACTACCATAAAAATTATACTAAAGTTTTATCAAATATTTCATATTTGTGAGACACTCACCCAATGTGGACCACACCTACCTAAAATATTTGATAAAAATTTTAGATCTCTAAGCATTGTTGATAGAAATTTCCAAACACGGTCCTCTTTCCACACTCCTTCCTTTCTTTACTTTTCCTCTCCCGCTTTCTTGTAAGCTGTTCTGATAAAAAACTTTCCCACACAATATCTGTCAAAAAAACCGCCACAAAACCAATAGAAAATCTAGCCCACATGTTTTCTTGGAAGCCAAACACCATCTTCCATTTCTAGAAACTTGGGCAAGGATCAACGTTTTTTTAGTTTGGTGGTCGTACCTTTATTCGGTCAACACTCTCTCCTCCTATTACATATACAAGCACACGCATATGCATATATATAATGGTTATGTTTGTATGTATGAATCAACGTGTTGAAGCTTGTGCTCGATTTTGGTATATTCAATCTCTGCTCTGAAGTTGCGTGGTTTGGATCGTTGTAATTCGAAGTCAGATATTTGGTCAAATTCAACTGAATTGTATTCTCCGTGTTTAATGGGAACTTCCGGTGATTCTCCGAGGAAGATCGTCTCCGGCGGCTCCGGTTACGTTCTCGAAGACGTCCCTCATTTGATCGATTACATTCCTGATCTCCCTGTACTCTCTCTCTCTCTCTCTAAGCTTAGTTTTTAATCAATCTGTGTGTGTTGATTTTCTTGTTGTTGTATAAGCAAACATCTGTGTGACTTTATTCTGTCTAGTATATATTTATGCATATTGTGGACTTTTATCTATGTATATATATTTAAAAATTATAATATTTCGGTCCAAGCGATGCTAACTGATCATGATGATGTTTTTGATTTGTTGATTTTACTTTTTGATCCTTACAGTAACTGCTAGGCAAAGTCAAATATTTGGCGAAATTATGTTGTTGCTGTGATCTTATTTTAAAATCAAAATTGTGCTTTATGTAATTGAAATAGATGTATAATTTACTTGAAGGTGCTCTTTATGTATTTTGTCTGCTGTGGTGATTGAGTTTGCTTTCATAGGAGTGGGCAGGTTGCTCTGGTTTTGTCCTAAGAGAGTGAGAAATAAATTGTACCCCTGTTTGGATGCTGAGAAAACTGGGGAAAGGGCGGGAAAGTTTTTAATGTTGTGTTATGTGTTGGTTGTTTCTGAAAAATGGTGAAAGGTTCACCTTATACAAGCCAATTAAGTGTTGGGTTATTCATTTATATATATATGGTCTGCAAGAGATTATTGAATGCTTTATTGGTTTTTTTGTGAGGGAAAATATTTGAGACCTCCAAAAATCTCTCACAATTCTACGGACTATGATATATTAGGTGTCAATTTTTGATTTGTTACACACTCAATGATTGAGGGTCCTATTCTCTTGTCACATCATTGTGGATGAATTTGTAGGTCAAATGTATGGGTCTCTACCATTACTCTTGTGAGACTAAATTGAGCCAACAACTTATAATTTAATAAAATTCTTGTTGTATTGTCTATGGATGAGCAATTTCTTTGAAAATGTGCTATAATTTTTATTGTTTTATTTGTGGCAGACTTTTTCCAATCCATTGCAAGACAACCCTGCATACTCGGTTGTTAAGTAAGTTGTTTTAGGCTCTCTTTCACTTGTAGCTGGTGATTATGTGCTCCTTATTTTTAACAACTGTTGTGCATACTTTAGAGTAATTTTGGTGACGTTGCTGATTCAATAAAATAAATTTATATTTTCAGGCAATATTTTGTCAATGTTGATGCCACTGTTGCGCAGACGGTCAGCCCTCTTCTATGACTCCCCCCCCCCCTCCCTTTTATCTTATCTTTTCTTTTCTTTTCTTTCTAGAAAAGTATTTTTTTATTATCTCATACATATCAGGGGAAAAAAAAATTTATCTTATAGTGGAACTATTCTTGTGTTATCTGTATTAGTTCACTGTTTGAGAACAAATGTGCCTCGAGAGGGTCTGCCTGGACATTTATGGACTCGAGTTGGAGAGCCGGTACTAAAAGATTTGTGATAATGGCTAAAGTTTACTTTGAGAATTTGGTGCTTGCATTCCCAACGCCAGGCTCGGTTTCCCTCTGAATTCTTCTAATAGAAAGAAGAAAGTTAAAGATTCATCCTCAACGAGCACATTTTTCTCATGATTTGAGCTAGCAGGGTGTATAGGACACCACTTACATTATAAATGACCACAATTTCTCTCTCTTTATACGTTTTCATATGCTGGTTATGTAGATCGTTGTTCATAAGAGTAGTCCAAGAGGGACGCATTTTCGACGTGCTGGACCCCGACAAAAGGTACTTATTTTACATGCCTTATATACGATATGTGACATCAAGTGCTCAACATTGACACATGCTCTTCCATTGGTTTTGCAGGTGTATTTTGAGTCGGATGAAGTCCACGCTTGCATTGTGACATGTGGGGGATTATGTCCTGGTCTCAACACAGTGATTAGGGAAATAGTATGTGGCCTCTACCATATGTATGGTGTTAAGAAAGTCCTTGGAATAAATGTAAGTGGCTTCTTCCTTACAAACTCCAATCTCATGTCTTCCACGAAGTTTATTTCCAGCTTATCTGTGGGCTTCGTTTGATCTGGAGTTGAGTCAATAGAGATAATTATAGAATGGTTGCCATTTTAGAAGTATTTTTATTGTTTTTGAGAGCTAGAGCAAAGGAATAAATAAATGATTTTTTTTGTTAACTGAATAATACATCGTTTTTATGTTTTCTCCCTCTTGATATATACTTCCTGTTAAGAATTGCATTTATTAATTAGTTGCATAGTTTGTGGGAATCAATGCAGAAAGGCAACTGCTAATCAAATACCATCTACAATTGTTCGCTCCAACTGATACTTTTGGTACTCGTATAACATTATATTATTAATATTGAACCAGCAGTCCCCTAAGCGACCATGTCAAAATATATAGAAGCTGTATTCCAACAAGAAAATCTTGATGCTTTTCCTTGGGTTGGAGAGCATGACTGTAAGACTATTGAAACTTTAATTTATGTCAATTGCAAGTTATTCACTTTTGTTAATTTCATATCATCTTAGATTAATTTTTCAATATCGTATTTTGAGTCAAAGAATTAAGGATAGGTTCACCTAAGTTGTCTTTCTGACTAAGAGATACACCATTCTGTTTCTACTGCATAATTTGGTGGCATGAGTAATAAATGAAGCTCTTGGATCTGCAGGGAGGATACAGGGGTTTCTATTCTCGAAACACAATCACTTTAACACCCAAAGTTGTTAATGATATCCATAAACGTGGTGGAACAGTTCTTGGGACATCACGAGGGGGCCATAATACTAAAAAGATAGTTGATAGCATTCAGGACCGTGGTATTAATCAGGTATATAAAAATCAATGTACTATTGCTATTTGGGATGACCTAAATAAGTGCACTTTTTGTCTTTTTATGGAAAGATGTGCAGAAAAGTAGAGAGGTGATGTGATAGAAAAAAGATAAAAAGATGGATTATTTTGATATTGCCAAACTTGGCCTTAAAATGACCAAGTCATTGGTCAACATCTTCTTATACACAATTTTATCACCTAAACAAATCTTTACTATTCATTAATATTGAATTTATGGCTTTATATATCTCAGGTTTACATTATTGGAGGAGATGGAACTCAGAAAGGGGCATCTGCGATTTATGAGGTATATTTGGTCAAAGGATTTTGTTATTTATTACCTGGCATTTGTCGCATATGATTCAATCAGTTTCTTGAGTTTTGCATTCTTTGGAATATTAACTCTCATATTTTAGTAGTTGGAAACTGTAAAGTTAATTGCCATCTATGTAAAATTTTACAACATTCTTATTCTCTATCATGCAGGAAATTAGAAGGCGCGGTCTCAAAGTTGCAGTAGCTGGAGTCCCTAAAACTATTGACAATGACATTCCGGTACTTCTTTTGCCAGCCATTAAACATGCTCGATTATTATTGAGTTCAATTTCACTCTGCTTATTTCAGAACTTCAAATTATTTTTCAAATTTGTTTGCTCACACTGTATTTAATTACTACAGGTCATTGACAAGTCCTTTGGCTTTGACACTGCTGTTGAGGAGGCTCAACGTGCCATAAATGCAGCACATGTTGAATCTGAAAGTAATGAGAATTGCATTGGTCTTGTGAAATTAATGGGTCGCGACAGTGGTAAGTTTCACACCAAATGCATGATACTTCCTCTCTTCATTTAGTTGTCTAGCTTCTTTTAAGTAGTTTTAATGTCTGCACTCATCTGCACATCATTCCTCAACAAATATATCTATCTATATCTATATCTATATCTATACTATATATAAAGCAAAGGCTGGAGTTGGTGTCCTGAAGCCTTTGCTTCTCTTTATGTCAAGTGGATTTCTCATTTCTCTATTTTAAACAAAAAATTAGACCAAGAAGAGGGTAGGACTCGAACCTAAGACTTCGGGTTTGATAAAGAAGACTCTTACCACTTGAGTGGCACACAATATGTAGTGAATTTTTTATTTTGTTTTTATTTATTTGAATTGCACACTCATCGCATGTGCCATCCGCTAGTATATATATATTTTAGAATTCATAAAAATGCTTAACATGGCTATGTAATTTGCACTGAGAAATTGCTGCATGGTTGGGAAAAATCTCTTGGAGCTATTTCCTCAATAACTTTATGCTAATAGTGATTTTTTTTTTCTTCTTTTGTCTCAATGGTTTTTGTAGTATTTGAATTGGACTTGACGTTGCAGGGTTTATTGCAATGCATGCTACTATTGCGAGCCGAGATGTGGACTGTTGCTTGATTCCAGAGTCACCCTTTTATCTTGAAGGAGCAGGAGGACTTTTTGAATATATAGAGAAGAGACTCAAGGAAAATGGGCACATGGTTATTGTCATAGCCGAAGGTGCAGGACAGGAGCTTCTTTCTGAAAGTTTGCGTTCTAGTCATCAGCAAGATGCTTCCGGAAACAAGCTTCACCAAGATGTTGGGCTTTGGATATCTCAGAGTATCAAGGTTTGTTTCCTGTTCCTAATTATTTTGTGTATTCATGCGCTTGAAAATGTTGATGCATGCAGATTTTGTTAGAAACATGGGCTGTATTTGCCAGAGAATTAGGAGTTCCTATCGTAATGCATGACCATTTAACAGGGGGATTCACTGCAAATACTAGTGTACTATGCACACACCCCCACATATGCTGTTCTGTGTGTGTGTGTTTCAAACTAAATTTCTAAAATTTTACCTGTATGTGAATGAATATCTTTGTTTGCAGGCATACTGTTTTGAACTTCCTCTTCCTTTATGTAGTGTTTGGTTCATTAGAATGAAATAAAATGGAATGGAATGGTCATTCCTTAGCCTCCCTATTTAATGACTATTTCCTTACAATAGTAAATGATGATTTCATTTGTAATACATTTTCCATCATTTTTTTAGCAAACCAAATGTGAGAATGGACATTATGTTGGAATGATTATTTCATTAATCAATCAGAGCATTAAAGTCTAGGGTTTGAGTTTCTTAGGAGTCTGAGAGTAGCATCTTTACCTCCCATCTTTGCTTCACATCCAAAATAGTTGTTGTTGCGGTATCAACTGTATTTACTAAACTAACTATTGTTATCCGTGTGATCACATTTGTTTGATTTCTGTTCACTCTCAAACAAGGAGAAAAGAATTTCACTCATTCTTATAATGAAACTTGTTCAACGTAAAGCATATTTCGGAATGTGTCCCTTCTATTGAGGAAGCAGTTAGGTGTCCGTGTAAGATTAAATATGAAGCTCGGGGCACTTGGATGCCCCAAAAAGGTCCATTCACAAGTGGAAAATTTGGAAACATGGTTTTCTTTTTCTTCATTGGTTTAGTTTTATTCCTGGAATAACCATATCATTCTGTACCAACAAAGTGAAATACTTGTAATTAGATTCATGGTTTAAATTTGCAGGATCATTTCTCAAGACAAAAGAAGATGGCTATCAACCTCAAATATATAGGTTGGTACAAAAAAAATTCCTGGTAGCAGACTACAATACAACTAGCAATAGCTGGTCTAACCAAGTGTCGCAATTTCTTGTATGGCAGATCCCACATACATGATCCGAGCTGTTCCAAGCAATGCATCTGACAACGTATACTGCACACTTCTTGCCCAAAGTGCTGTTCATGGAACGATGGCAGGGTACACAGGCTTTACAGTGGGCCCTGTCAATGGCAGACATTCTTATATACCCTTTTATGTAAGTTTGTCCTTTACGTAGAACAGAACTGCTTATTTCTGCTTAATATCCTTCATGTTTACACTCTTCTTCTTGGCACCTTGTTCCGTGTGAGGAAGCAATTTCGAGGTTTATAATCTAACTGAGGATTTGGGAATAGAATCATGGAATGAATTAAACGGATATTTGTAGCCAACTCTAGGTTGTGGGGGCTATGTCGAGTTGCACACAATAATCTAAAATAAAACGTCCATAAGTAAAGACCAAAATAAAACTAACTACACGAGTCTCTCCCCCCTCTCTTCTGAGTGTAGGTTTCCCCTGTTGCCCTAGGGTGCAAGTTCTCTTCTCTTCTGGGTAAGAGTTTGGTTTTGTTCTCTTTTTTTTTTTCTGGGGTTGTTTTTGCCTTTCTGCTCCTGTTTCTGTTGTTGTTTTTTTTTTTTTTTCCTCTTGTTTTCTTTTGGTCCGGTTGCAACTTGTATTATGGACAAAACTCTTGAGGCCCTTTCCAAGAAGTTAAACCTCACCGATGAGGAGGCGGATTTAGTTGTTTTGGAGGTCGATCATACCAGGGCTACCACAGAAAAAGCAAATCTTTGGTGAGGAAAGTTTTGTCGCAACGTTTGGTTAATGCTGATGCTATGTGGGCAACCGTCTCAGTATGGAGGTTGAATCGGGGAGTAAAGGTTAGTGTTCTTGTTGATAATCTCTTTTTGTTCCAGTTTAATCATTTGGTGGACAAAAAGGAAGGTGGTTAGCAATGGGCCGTGGAGTTTTGATAAGCACCTTGTCCTCCTTGGTGATGCCGTTGGTTCTCTACAGCTGTTGGAGATCACTATTGTATACATCATTTGGGATTCACATCTACAATCTACCGTTAGTTTATATGATCAAGGAGGTTGGATCACTGATTGGCAATATAATTGGTACATTTATTGATATGGATTATGGTGACGTGGGACGGCTTGGGTGAAATTCTTGAGGATACGTGTGAGCCTTGATGTGACAAAGTCACTCCCTTGGGATATGAAGATTTCTCTTCCTGTTCGGGACCAGTTTGGGTTTTGTTTAATTACCAAGCTGGCGCATGAGGACAAAGAATGTGAAGCTAAGTATTGGCTGAGGTGGAGAATGTGCCGGTTGCTTTACAATATGATGTGTGGCTTCGTGTTGATCCTTTTTGACTGAAAAAAAAAAGAGAGACCAAATCTATTAGAATATATATGAGAAAATAAAACTATAATTAATCCCTAATCTCGATCCAATTCCTTTTCTGCCGCCATCAAATTGGCAACCAATAAACTTTCCGTCTTTCAATTTTTCAATTTTTTGTTAAGCCGTGGGAATTGTAGTCATTGCTATGTATGTCTTCCTTTGGTTAGAATAACTTTTGAGCACTGCTATGGGTTAGTATCACTTGAAACAATGAAGAAACATGTCAAAAAAATTTTGAACCTTTTTCGCGTCAATAATTCTTATTACTCATTATCACGGGGCTAATTGTTAATGGTTTGTCTGCAGCGGATTATTGAGAGACAGAACAGAGTTGTGATAACAGATAGGATGTGGGCTAGGCTACTGTCTTCGACCAATCAGCCAAGCTTTATGACTGCAAAAGATGTCATCAACGATATTGGGGAGGAAGAGCCACTGACTCAGATGTCGGATGACAACTCGTCAGACGACAAGATGATCAAAGAGAACGGTTACTGATGGTGACATTGCAATGCTATAGAGATCATTATATTTATTGCTTTAGCCTCTAAAATTTTTATTAGCCAGCTTACCAGAATTCCCTCCAACAAGGGCCTTGATTCTGTCGGTTTTTTTTTTTTTTTTTAAATGTAAGCAAAATACGCTGGCGATTTGCTCCTTTTAAGTTGTTGCGAAAGGTTTGTCCGGTATATATAGGGATCTTTGTATGCTGAAATAAACTGGTTGGTTGTAATGGCAATTATGGTATTTGAGAAAAACAAATTTACAGCCATTCTATGAGCTTATGTTTATTCAGTTCAAATTGCGTTTGAGCTTGGTAATGAGACACAGAGAGGTCTGGTTTATAGGGTTACAAATTGAGAAAAGAAAAGAAAAGAAAAGAAGCTAATGTTTGTTCAATTCAAAGAGATTACCACCTTCCAAACCCTACCTGCCACCACATTTTCCCATGCCGCCACCAATCTACCGATCACTTCTATCGTCAACAACTACTACCACCACTCTCCTCTCCCTCCCCTTTGCCTCCTCACCTCGAAGCTCCTTCTCCATACTCGATGGCCCAACCTCTTTCATCCCCTCCTGACACCCTCTCCTCCTTGCCTCTCTCACCCTAAACATGGCGACGCTTCAATTATCTTCCATGACATCCGCATGCCCTTCACCATTCCTACCTTGGGGTATTCATTGAAACCATAAATTTGAAACAAAAATGATTCATCCACCGACTTTGAGTTTGCCCTTGAATTTGCGCATGACGGACGACCAGATACGATGATGACCAATGCAACTCTTGTCAACCGCGGTTGTTATCTTTGTCAATTGCGGCTGTTACTTTTATTGCTGGATGACCGGTCGGACGGACGGTATGCACAAATTCAGACAATTCGGATAAGCTAAAATTTGGTGGATGTAGCATTGCTGAATTTGAAAATCTGAGCCCCATCTCTTGAAACCTAGAATATTTCTCATGCAAACACTTGATTTGCAGTGTGGTGTTAGATGTTTTCATAATGAGAGAGGGTTGGGGGTGTCAACTATGGTAGGGGACGGGTTAGATGGTAAGAAAAGGTGGAGGAGGGAGATGAGGCTACGTGTCAAATTAGGGTTTGTAATGTTAAGGGTGTAAACGTATGAATTTATTTAATTTAACTGAATATATAATATAGAGCAAAATAGATAAAAATGAGAATAATAAAAATAAATTAGAAGACATATATAGAGAAATTTCGGTGTAAATAAATGAAATTTAGGTGAAAATTTTAAAAACTTTACACTGAAATGCAATTATTTTCCTTATTTGTCATTTATTATATATTTTCCTTAAAAATACAGACAAACACAAAAAGAGTCCCATATTAAAAGACACTTGGACGGTTAATCCAATTTTGATATTTTTGGAACAATTGACACAAGCTCTATTCTTTTAGGGTGTATTTGTTTGGATGGACTGGGTGATTATAATCCACCGGATTGTTAGTCTTCTGATATATTATTTCTGGACTATTTGGTTGGACTGTATTTGTATCCTTAGTCATGTGATTAGATGTTTAGATTAGACTATTCTATTGAATCCTATATTCGTTTGGGATATTATGGAGAATGATAAATGTTCAAAAGATTATTTTGCCTTTTTGAATTAATTACTAAATAATAGGAATATTAAATCTGAATTATAAATTTTATTTTATTTTTTTACTAGAACTTTTAAAAAAGGAAATAAATAGAATATTAATAAAAATTAAATAAATTTATTTTAATTTGTAATTGAGATTTTTAAATTTTATTTTACTTTACCAAGTATAATTAATACCTTTATTAAAATAATTAATTTAATAAAGTATAAATAATTTAATAAATAAATTTTATTTTTAAAAAGATATTAAATAGTAGAAAGTCAAAAATGTAATTTCATTACCTAATCTCATGGGATGAGTAATCCCATGATTTGTGTCCTAACCCTCGTGGGATACAATAGTCCAACAGATTTAGGATTAATAGTTCATATGGACTATTAATACAGTGCAAAAAATTTCAATCAAACAACGAACTATTAGTCCAGATGGACTATTAGTCCTATCCCATGGGCCAATCCTTCCAAACAAACATCACCTTAAGGTAACAAGGATAATAATAATTTAAAAGAGTAAATTATCCCAATCTATGATAACAACTCTCTCCTATCCCAAAAAACCTCACACTAGTGATATGTACCATTAATCACGTTTCACTTGATATAGATTTGAGTAATACTACGTACCTCGAATTTGAACTTGTCTCAAATGACTCGAATTTCACTTTGTCGGTTGTCCGGCCGGTCATCCGAGCGGTCATCCGGCAAAAAAGTTGACAACCACGGTCAACAAGATGACAACCGTGATAGACAAGTGATTTACTCGGTCATCCGAGTAGTCGTCCAGCTGGGCGACCGGTGGACACAGATTCGTGCCATTCGCGCCTAAAACTCTTGTGGCATGTTTGATTGGAAGGATTAAAGCATAGGATTGGGATTATTAATCCGTGGGCCCAATCATCCTATGTTTGTTTTGACATTTTAGTTTAGGATTATTAATCCAATGGATAATTAATCCAACAAATTTGTAGGATTATTAGTAATGGGGTAGGGGTGGGATAACTAATACCACACTTATTTAATAGGATTATTAATACCTCACTATTAGTGTTGTGAATCAAACATGGCCTTGAGGCCTAAAGCATTAATCTATAGATTTTGATAACTTTTTGGACTGTTTAAAAGAAATATCTATCTGCCTATTTTTAAATTAAAAAATGAGAACATATATATCTATAGCTCTGTGCATTTATAATCACTTTAAAATTTTTAAAAAAGGAACAGATAATTCTATTTATCCACTTTTTAATTATTTTTAAATTTAAAAATAAAAACAAATAAGCCTATTTATGTCATTTTAAGGTCTATTTTAAGAAGTGAGTTAAAATTTCTCACAAAAAAATTAAAAAATAATTTTTAACCATTTTCTAGAACACCCCAAATCACTTTGGCTGGCAGTTGCCCTACTCCCCCCTCCATTCTGAATTCAACCAAAAAAACATAATAATAATAATTTAAGCATAGTGGTCAATGTGGAAATAATTCTAACTATAAGGGGCAAATTGCAGTTCCCCCTCAATCGGGAAAGCAAAGTTGTCTAAAATGATGTACAGCTGTGCAAGGCTTCGTTTGGTTTGAGGAGTAGATTGATTTTTTAGTTTTTTAATTTTTTAATTATTTTAATAGAAAATATTTGGTGGTCATAAATTCTGTGACTTAAATGGTTCGAAAATACTAAAACGATATTTTTTTGACATTTTTGAGCCATTTGAATTACAGAATTTGTGGTCACCAATCATTACCGTATTTTAATTTAGAGTTAAAATATTTAGGATTTTTTTAAGAAGTGAATTAAAAATCACATCTCAACTTTTAATTTGAATCATATCATCTTATACATTTTTTTACACGTTTTTTTAAAATAAAAGTCAAAAAAAGTTAAAAAATTAATTTTTAACCATCTTTCAAAACACTCATTTGGATTGTCTTGTTTGACTTTTGTAAGAAAAAAATAAAATAATTAATTTTAACATATATATATATATATATATATATTTTTAGGCAAATTACATATACCTCTCTTGAGGTTTTGCTAAATTACAGATATCCCTGAAGTTTTGAAAATTACATCCTGCCCCCTAAAATTTGTATTTTCATAACAATTTACCCCCTGAGATTTAAATTTCATAACAAATTACTCCCTAATTTGTTATGCAAATATAGCATTAAAGGAAAAATTTATAATTTCTCAAACCTGAGGGATATTTGTAATTTAACCAAACTTCGAAGAAGTATATATAATTTGCCCTATATTTTTTGGCCGAAAGAACACCAATTTCATTTTAGCTCATTGCCAAACAAGTGCTAAGTTGTCATCTGATAATAATTTTTCTATTTAAATAAACACAAAAAATAATAATAACAAAATCACAGATAAATTATAATTATTTCACTATTTTTTCTGACAATTATTAGACTTAAATAAAAAATAAAAAATAAAAGTCAAAATATTTCAAAAACAGAGCAACAAAAAAAAAAAAAAAACATGGCGTAAAGCAGCGGGTATTTATTTACAGGAGAGACTCTCTGTTCCCTGTCCGTGTGTGTTGTATGTGTTGGTGGGGATCTGAGAAGAAGATGGGGATCAGATTCATATTGATGGTGAACAAGCAAGGCCAAACTCGTCTTGCCCAATACTACGAGTACCTCACTATTGACGAAAGACGTGCTCTTGAGGGCGAAATCGTTCGTAAATGCCTCGCTCGCACCGAACAACAGGTTTCTATCCGTCTATCTACTGATTCTAGTTTTTGCAAATTTTCAATCTTTCTTCCAAATCTCACCCACTCTCTGGTTGTTTTCCTTCGATCTTTCTCCTCAATTTAATCTTTTTGCAATGGTTTCAAATTCTAATTTTGAATTAATTCAATTACTACGTGAATCCAAATACCCAGTTAAGTAATCTGATTAACAGGGATTTTATTCTGGTATTGAAATAAATCTTCACAATTGCATCTTAAATAGTGAAATAGAGACTGTTCCTGAAAATCAATTTTAGGATTCAAAGATGTCTTGGGAAGTGCACAAATATAGAAATGCTTGAGACAGATCAAGTTGGGTGTGGCAGTATGGTAATGTTAATGGTGTTGATTGAATGTGCTGTGTAATTGTCTCTTCGCATATGCGCCATAATGAAAGCGAATTGAGAAGCCTATTCAAGCAAGAACTCTCTATAGCCAGCTACACCCTCCTCTGTGATGAAATTTATAAGCAGAGGATAAAGTTTTTTTTTTTTTCTGATAACTCGGTATCCAGTCCAATGGACCGATTAATCTAGGGACCAATCCTATCATCCACTAGCAAGGGCCCCAATTAAAGCTGGGGAAAAGCCTTGTATAAGGAGAGAGCACACCCCCAAGTCCCAAGCCTTGACATAAAATTGGCAACTATTCCCAATTTTAAAATTGTGTGTGTCAAAACAAGACTATCTCATGACTTTGTGTGTTAACTATAATGTTGTGTTAGTACTTATCATACAAATGTCAATGACATGTTCGGGATATTAAAACCAGGAATGGAGTTCCTGGTTTCAGAAGAAATTTTTTTTCAACTCTGATTTGCACAAGGTTAGTGCAGTAACTGGACCGACATTAGCTAATGGTGGGTTTAACCAACAGCTTTCTCTATTTTCTCTCTTTTGGTGTCTCTTCAACCGTTGTGGAAATTCACTCACCACCATCACTCTTACCTGAGTCACCATTGTGCATCATGACCACTGCAATCAAACCCACCCCAACCTCTATTCCATCCCATCACTCTTTATCTATAAATATAACCCATCCAAATCCCACCACAGCATCGCCTCTTATCTTATATGTACAATACAAACTGAATAACATGGAAAATGCAACTGAAGGTTGATGGTTAAAAAAGGAAGAAGGGGAAGATAACGCAACTATAGAGTGGCTTATGGTGAAAGCATGGAGAATGGTTGGGGTTTGGTAAGAAGATGATAGTAGTAAAAAGAGATTTTATTTTTGTTTATTAAATATAGCGTTTTGTTTATTAATGTAGCATATTTTAGTCATCTTATAATGATTTTCAGGACTTAATTGGGAATTCAATATTATTTTATTACAATAAGGGTGAAAAAAGTCATTCATGCAGTTCAACTTGAACAATTATTAGGTCTCCTTAACTGATTATAAAGGCATGCATACATATACATTAGAGGAAATCAGTTATTATCTGTGTAAGTTTTATATAAATTATCTTAAAAATAAGGATTGAATGAACCTTGTGTATACACACTTCAAATAGTTCATAGAAATATGTATGTTGCATTAGCCTTGCTTTTTCGATATATAGATAGGCAAGCCACGAAGTTAAGCCCTTGCCTATTGAAAATAAAATCTAGACAAGTGGCTGTTTTGATTTCTTTGGCTCTCCTTCCTTTTATATGATTAACTCTGTGAAGTATTGGCTCTTCATGTTAGTTGACTTGTTTAGTTTACTATCCATGAGGTATTGACTCTGTGTTAGTTGACTTGTTTAATTTTATTTCCTAGAATTTTTTTGGGGCCAAAGTTATTCTTCCACTTGTTTTAGATCATTAAAAAAAAATTAGATTTTGTTTGACTTCTGGGTGTTTCTGAATCTGTCGATTCTATTGTTACTATTCTATTGCACCTGAATGGATATTCTTAATCTCTCCCTGATGGTTTTGGTAAATGAATGCAGTGTTCCTTTGTCGAGCATCGGAACTACAAGATTGTATACCGGCGCTATGCATCACTATTCTTCTTGGTTGGAGTTGACAATGAAGAAGTAAGTTTTATGCTTCTCTTCCAATTCAGAGAATAGTGCTTTGTTTTTTAAAAGATTGAACATGACATAAATTTTACCAATATTAAAATTGATTATTCTTCTTATGATTTATGTTTTATTTTCTATATGGTGGAAACTGTATCTTTTGGGCATAGAAGGATTGCTAACCTGACATGCCTATGAAGTGGTTGTGCTTTACCTTCCTATCACACGGATGAAGTGCCTCTGTCACAGTCTCCCTGACAGTGACACAAATTTCCTATGCTTGGATTGTATTCTGAGATCCTTTGAAATGTGTCTGTGATGTATATGGCATCTCATATCTTCACAAGAAAGATTCAATTACATCTAAGAAATCTTTTACTGTTAGATTTGGCTTGAAGTTTGGTTATGTCAAGTTTAAAACTTCAATTCAGACCTGAAACTCTAGGTGTAGAATAAAAGAATTGAAGCTGTTTTGGATTGTATAACAACCTTTTATTATTATTTTTGGTTTTAAGTTTGGTTATTTAGAATTTTAAAATTTTTGTTCAGACCTGAAACCCTAGGTGAGGTAGAATAAGATAAATGCAGTTGTTATTTGGTGAACTTATTTAACAATGAGCTATTACTTTAGTATTGTTTGGGCCAGCTGATGACTCCAAGGCCTAGATTTCTTTTTGGTCATCAAAATTAAGTCTGGAATTGAATAAAATGATTTAGATTATTATTATTATCAGCTTATTGTCATTATCATGGATTATTGGCACCCATGTTCGGCTAGGATACTTGGTTTCTTGTTTTCCTGTGCAGAGTCGTAATATATATATATATATATATTTGTATGCTAGAGTAAAACCATATCCTCACTGACAAGCCATTGAAATACTTCCAACTCACATGGTTCTGCCTGCATTTATTTTATTTTATTTTTGTGATAACCGAGAACCGATCCTAGACAAGGCCTTTTGGACTTACCCTAGGAGCACACACTCGGGATACATGCAACCACCCACTGGCCTCACATATCGGGAGAAGTAGGACATCAAGACTTGAACTTAAAACCTCCTGGATAGAACCTGTACGACTTACCATTTGAGCTGACCCTCACGGGTGTCCTGCCTGCATTTATGTCATGCATAATAAGATTTTAGCAGTTGCTCATTTGGTGCACGGAAATAATAATCATCCCTAGGCTAGGAGACAAGTTTTGGAGCTGTACAAAATTCAATCATATATTCTTCACTCCCAATTAGGAGCTCAATATGTATACATTAAGATCCTATTTTATTGTAGAAAAGCCAATTGCAGGGCTTTGGAGTTTTTTTTGTTGTTATCTGTTTTCTCAAATATTAGTGGCATATAGCTGAAGTAGTTACATGTGGTCAGTTTAAGGGAGAGTTCAAATAATGTCAGTTACAGCGAGGAAGCAATTGTAGTCATAGAGCATGTAGATATTAAACGAGCCCTTCTAAATTTTTTCTAATATATGTGAATTATTCTATAAAAAATGTGCTATTATTTTCTAATTATGTTCACTCTCTTGTTATCCAGTCAGCTTATAATATATGGGAAAAAGAAGTCACCATGTAATTTATGTTTCTGTACCTGTCTTCCATTTTGCAGAATGAGCTTGCTATTCTGGAATTCATACACCTCTTAGTTGAAACCATGGATCGCCATTTTGGCAATGTGGTGAGTCTTCTGACAAAGAGAATAAAATAAATTCCGACTCTCTCTCTCTCTCTCTCTCTCTATATATATATATATATATATTAATCAATCAAATTTGTAAATTTGCAGTGCGAGCTGGACATCATGTTCCATCTAGAGAAAGCACATTTCATGCTGGAGGAAATGGTCATGAATGGGTGTATTGTTGAGACAAGCAAGGCTAACATTCTCTCTCCAATACAGCTGATAGACAAGGCGTCGTAACCATTTTCACTCCAATGCTTTAAACATGCCAAATCTATGCACTGGCACTTTCTTTGATCTCTTTAGGGTTACTGATTCATGTACTGTTGTTGTCTACTGTACAACAGGATGAGCCGATCTAGGGTATTTCAGTGAAATGGATAAGAACTTACAGTTGATTAAATATATTGCATTATGAGGTTGGTTGTGTGATTTTTACAATTGCTTGATTGTCTTTAGAAATCAGTAGATATTTTATTCTTTTTCTTGTAATGAAATAAGGTGATGCAAAAATAATAAGAAGGCTCCGTTTGGATTGGTGAATTTGGTAGGAAGGGATTTGAGATTGAACCTCATAAAATGCAAGTATTAGTGCAAATTCTAACATGACAGTGTATCATGCAGTCATACTGGGATTGGAGCCCATTCTTTCACAGGTACTAGTTAAAATTTAGGAAAAATAAATAATTAACAACAATACATGCTCTCTTTGTTTCGGTAAAAAATAAGTTTTTAGATAATATTTTCTATAGAAAATGTTTTTTAACGTTTGGTTGCAGCTTTAAAATTAATGATTGTGGTGGTGGTAGCTAATGATAGTATTGGAGGAGGTGGGATGGTGGTGGTTGTATGGATAGGTAGTGTAGTGGGAGTGATTGTGGGTAAAGTTTTTAAGGACAAATGCTTAACGTAAGACGTTTTACTTCTTATGAGGCGAGACGTAAGCCTTAAGGCGTTGAGATTTAAGTATTTCAAAATTTTAATTTTTATATTCAAGTAATTTAAATATTTTAAAACAATAAATAAATACATCAAATTAAATTAAATATAAATGTGTAAATACTTCTCTTCACTACAGAGAAGAAAGCTTGGCTTTATTGAAAGTGAAATTGGTATTTTCAACTTTGGTAATGTAGCTTGTCACTAAGCATTAACTTTGTATTTTTTTCTTAATTGGTCATTTACTTAATTTTTCCTATAGAATATAATTACAAAATGAGTTCTTTTTTTATTTTTTACTTTTTTATGTTTAAATCATCTACTAGATTAAGTTTAACAAAAGTCTAAGGTAAACACTTCATATGTGTACTCCTCTACATACTTATGAGTAGAAGATGTACAAGATGCACCTAAGGCACATGTCTCGAGATTGTGTACTTGGGAGTAAAGTCTAAAAATCCAAAACTTTGAGGCATTTTGACTTAGCCTTGCCTTTAAGGCGAGTATCAAGGTGAATCTCAATAAAGCCTTTTAAAACTTTGATTGTTGGGTTAGCAGCAATATTAGTGGTGGGTTGGGATTGTAATGTGCTGGTGTTTGATAAGAATTTAATTTGAAAAACATTATCATTAGCAGCAATATTAGTGGTGGGTTGGGATTGTAATGTGCTGGTGTTTGATAAGAATTTAATTTGAAAAACATTATCAACCACCCAAATAAGTTTGTATCCTGTTGGCGATGGAAATTTTTTTTATTCACTTCTGTTTTCTGTCATATCAAACACTAAAAAATACACCCAAAAAAAAAAAAAATTACAAAAAAAATTCTTCACAATAACCGGAGCATAAGTAATCCCTTTTCAGGTATCAGGCGAAAGATGAAAAACATTATCAACCACCCAAATACGTTTGTATCCTGTTGGCGATGGAATTTTTTTTTATTCACTTCTGTTTTCTGTCATATCAAACACTAAAAAATACACCCAAAAAAAAAAAAAATTACAAAAAAAATTCTTCACAATAACCGGAGCATAAGTAATCCCTTTTCAGGTATCAGGCGAAAGATTGCTCATAGAGAACTATCCATTCTTTTTAGCTAATTATCTCATTCATTTTCTCCAAAGGTGAAGACAAGCATCAACATTTCATAAAACAAATTTATAATTACACCCAAAGACCAAATGGATATACACAGATGAGGAACAAAATGTAGAAATTATTATAAAGCTCTACCCAAATACCATATCATAGATATATCACCCTTCCCTGGGATATACCAATTTGAGAATAACTAAGGATACACTTACAATACATGGACCCATATGTAGTTTCTATGTACCAATTTGAGAATAACTGAGGATCATACGAGAAACTGCCTTGCGAAACACATACACCAGCACGGGTTATTAGTTACATTCATAACACAAGGGACTCACATGTCAGGTAGAGTAAATAAATTAGGCAATCTAATAGAGGGACAAAATAGTAAATCTCCCTCTAATCCCAAGGGATTGTTTTTCTAATACAACATCCCATGGAGACTACTAATCCCATCCATAGAGGCTTCTCATAATCCTAAGGTTTTGTGAATCCCCTTCATCATTTTGCAAACAAACAGACTATTAGTAGACTCCACATCCATCTTAACCCAATCCCATCCCCTATAACCCAAAACAAATGGACCCTACGGGTGCAACTGATATGCCATGCTGGTGTATGTATTACACAAAAAGACTTTCTCGGATCAGACAGCTGCTGGCTTCCCATCTTTCCTGGGATCACTTACAGCAGTAAGTGTTCCATGGAATATTAGGTTAGCAGAAACTTCTCCATGTTTTCGGCCCATGTTGACTGAGTTTGGAAGCGTTTGAACGACAAGCTGGCAGATAGCCCCGCTTTCCTTAGCCTGCAGTTGGTGACCCCTTTTTTCCAAGAAAAACTTCCTGTCATCCTGGAGCTCAATATGATCGCCATCGATCACAGTCCAGTTTTCATACAAAACTACATTTGGGATGAGCTGCACAAAGTTATGAATATATCAGTATTTGATTTGTTTAAGCTTTCAGTGATACAAGGAGCTTTTTACCAATTGTAGGTTGTTTTGAAACAGAATTCTCAAAAACAAGCAGATTAATACTTTTTTTCTGAATTCAAACTGTTTCATAAAGTCGGGTTTTTAAAACATGACTTCAAAATTTCTTACAGTAAATCAGATGGAGTCGTGTTTCCAAAACATGGTTTCAACTTCATGAAACAATCTGGGATTGAGAAATAAGTTTAAAACTGTTTGGAATTGGAAATTTTGATTTAATACTACTTGCATTTGGTTAAAAACTTGTGATACAACAAGTCTATGTTCTAAATCAAAGCCAGAACCTTGTGGTAGACTCTTGGATTCTGAACAGCTTCCAAAGGTTCCATCCCCAAGATAAAATGGTTAATGAAAACCTGAACCACCGCCGGAATTATATACATACCGCCACCTCCGCCAACTACCCCGGCTAGCTGATTATCCTGTAAGAATAGAGAACTTTTATTGGGGACCAAGGATCAAAATTTCATTCATGTATAGTTTGGAAACAGAAAAGTTTTGAAAACATTTCAAAAACATAAAGGAAATGACAAAAGAATAAGATAACGTAAAACTAAAATGAATATTAGAAGTTAATAAACAAAAAGTTTAAAGGCTTAGTTCAATTGAGGCCTACCACTGTCAGAAGAAACATCGAAAAATGCAAAATTCTATCAGAAGTAAGGATGAAAACAAAAATATAAAAATAAAAAGAAGTAATGAGTGACTTAATTATGCTGGTTTTATCTCTCTATCTCTCCTTTTCTCCTTCATAGTTTCTCATATTCTCTAATAAATTTAAATTTTTTCTTACCCTCACATTTTTTCCTATTAATATAGAGAGGGAAGGCAAATAGAAATGGCCATTGTTAATATTCTTAATATGTATTGAAATAACTCATTGTTCAGTATGTTTTGTAGTGTTTTAGTGCTTTTTGACATGTTTCGCTATGTTTCAGGGGAAACATTGAAATTTCGATATTCCACTACTATTTGTTTTACTCCGGTTTCCCAGGAAACGGAAATGTTTTGACTGTTCAGATGGAAAAGAAATGAAATTTTGTTCCTTGCGAAGAATGACCTAATTAGAGTAAGGTGATACACTTCTCATGATGCATATACAGTACTTCTAAAAGGACATAAAAAGAATATTGTGAGAAAAAACAAAAAGAAAAAGAAGTATAAATATTGCCATACCTTTAGAACAATGATCGGGGTCATAGAGGATAAGGGCCGTTTGTTTGGTCTGATAAAATTAGCTGGAGCAGGGGGGAGTTGGTCAGGCGATATTTCAGTAGGCGTCGAGAAGTCACCCATCTCATTATTAAGAACAATACCAGTAGATAGTGAGAGAAACCCTGCTCCAAAACCATAATTTATTGTTGTGGTCATTGATACAGCATTTCGATCTGCATCTACAATGCAGAAATGGGTGGTTCCGTGATCTTGAAGCTGACTCCATCTGGAAATTAAGGACTAAAAGTTGTGGATTCATGACTATATTAACAATTGTGTTAATAAAAATAAGAAAATTGGTAAGTACTTATTCAAATTAAGTTAATAGAAAGGGAAATTTATTTAACCTGTACATATAGTATTCTGAAGGAAAAGTTGTGTTGTCAAATATCTTTTGCTGAAGTTTCTTCGCATAAGAAGGAGAAAGCATTTTGGATATGGTATTACTGATATTTACAAAATTGGGGTCACCTAGGTCCATCCGGATAGCAAACATGTGTTTCAAAGCTTCGATCAGGCGATGTAGACCAAGAGATCCCTTCGCCGCATTGGAATTTCCATAGCTATCCAATATGTTTAGAATCTGTTAACACATTGAACAGACCGTCTGATTATGGAGTTCATACTAAGAGAAAATTGTGTGAAAATAGGAAAGTAAGAAATTCGAAAGAATCGGATTAGATTTAACATGAAACAGACTTGCTACCAGCATATGCTAAACAATTTAGCTTTTTTGCTGTAACTTATAAGTTGTGTTATTTTTTAGTCTTTTTTTTGTCTTTAATGAACTCTTTTCAATTTTGAGTGATATGTTAATTTTTAAGTTCATCTAGACTTAATAATCATAAAAATTAAAATTAAAAAAATTGAAAAAAGTTTAATAAAGATAAAAATAAGCCAACTTTTATAGGTTTTTTTTTGGGATAAAATTTGACTTACTTTTGTCTTTAGAGAAAATTTGAAATCATCTAGTCTAGACAGACCTAAATTTTTTTAAAAAAAAATGACATAATTTTCTAAGTTCACTAAAGACAAAAATAAACCAAAAAAATCCAGCTAATAAGGTGGTGCAAAAGAGCTTTCCATGCGTATAGAGGAACAAAGGGAAAAATAAAAGACATCTAAAAATCGGAAAACACTTGCAAATCTAGCTCAGTTAGTTCAACAAATGAGGACAAATATGCAATATCACTCGGCGAAACTATTTTAGTAATGAAGAAAGGGAAAAACACCCACCAGAGAAAGCCCAAGCGTTCCACTTGACGGAGGTGGCATTCCTAAGATGTTGTAGCCCATTGCATTCACAGAAAGTGCATCCATTACATCCACTTCGTAGTTCCTCAAGTCTTCCATTGTCAAAATACCACCAGCATCTCTCACATCTTTGACTAACTTTTCACCAATCGTTCCGTTATATAATGCTTGTGGTCCTTGTTCCGCCACTGCCTCCAAGCTATGGCCAAGCTGCACATTATAGCATATATCACCGGCTTGTAACAATTTCCCATTTGGCGCAAACACTTGTTGTAACCCGGGGTCAGCGAAGATGAGTTTTGCATTGTGAGAAATGGATAATCCAAGATATGGAGCAACAACAAAGCCATCTTTAGCGAGTTTTATTGAGGGTTGGAATAAAGTCCTCCAAGACAATCTCCCATATTTCAACCAAGCTTCATGAAGGCCAGCTATCTCGCCTGGAACGCCAGCGGACAGTGGACCCACATACTTGGCCTTGGAATTGTTCGCATACATGTCCTGTTTGTTGACAATTACAATATCAGCAAAAAGCCAAGAAATATAAAGAATCTGATATCATGTTTTTGCCAGTGTGGATGGCCTCATTTTAATTCACACCCAACATCCAAGGGGTCTGAGTTACAATTCTGTTACGCACATATCAGCAACTCTTTGATACCCTTGGCCAGGATTTTAAATATCCGCCATTACATTTTGGGATTTTGGACTTCCGATATCATTGTTCATCAATATATCGGCCAAAACTGTCCGATATTGGCCAACATATAACCGTATTGCCGATATTGATACATATCCGAATACCGTTATTTAAAACCATTCCCTTGGCTCCTTTTTGTGAAACTTTGTGACAGATGGAATCATGGGACCTATTTGATTGTTGGGTTTGGCCTCCAAACTTTTAATTTAGTTATTGCATTGAAAAGGGTTAATTTCACTTTTATCCCTTAAAATATCATCACTTTGTTTATTTTGTTCGTAAACTATCAATTTAATCAATTTCATCCTTAACGATTTTGATTTCCACACACGTGGTTCAATTGGAGACCGACCGTCATCCAAAATAGTAACAATAGCCTAAATTGGTGAGCAAGAGGTTATTTCACAATTTGGACAACCTAAATTATGCAACCAAACATCTATTTTTTGCTCACTACATTGGACAATTTACACCCTATAACCAAACACACAACTTACATAGGACAACTTACACCACTGTTTAGTAGTGGCAGTGTGTCGGTGTTGATGGGGGAGGGCGACGGGTGAGGTAGGGAGGAGGAAGGGGGAGAGGGTGGAGAAGAAGATTGGTGTTTCGTATGAGTAAATGACCTTTTTGCCTAGAGCATAAGTTGTCCAATGTAGTATGAGTAAGAAGATAGATGTTTGGCTGCATGGTTTAGATTGCCCAAATAGGAAATGACCTTTTTGCCCATCAAGTTAAGCATCTATCATTAATGATTAGGATGGCCATCTCCAGTTGAACCACATAAGCTAAAATCAAAAACTTGAAGGACGAAACAGATGAAATTAATAATTTAGGAACGAAATAAGCAAAAAAGTGAGAGTTTATGTAATTGACCAAATTGAGAATGAGTTTCCAACCTGTGAGGCAGCTAAGGGAGCAGTTTCCCTCATGTCAAATGCATCTGCATGTGATGATGAAGAAGATCGAATGAGCATGAACGCTCCACCTCCTATTCCGCTTGCCATTGGATTGATGACACCAACACACAAAGCGGTTGCCACTGCAGCATCAACAGCATGCCCACCCCATCTAAGCATGGATGCACCGATTTCAGAGCAACGACCATCATCAGCAGCAACAACTGCGTTCTCTGACTCAACAATTTCAGAATCTCCAACCCGTATCTTCTCATCGTACTTGTTCTCTCCTCTCAATTCCCAGAAACTTAAATCGCCTCCTAGTGCAAGGCCAACAACTAGAATGCACACAAAACACCCAATATTGGATCAAATATATACCATGAATATAAACAATTTAAGCCTCGAAAGAAAAGAAAGAAAGAAAGAAAATGCACACAAAAGAATTTTGCTGTGGATGACTATCTTACATGGACTGTCAGTTGCAGGTGCAGGTGCGTATCTAGAGTGTCAAAAACGCATTTTATTCATTTCATAGAAATTATGCAACAAAATATACATATAAAGACAAGTGTTAAATACATTTATAGAAGAAGTGTCGGATAGGAATTACTAGACACAGATCTCACACCTTTATCCAAGTTTCAAGTGCCCGACATGGGTATTGATTTATTTTGAAGAGTCCATACCACATAGATGGTTGATCCACATAAAATAGCAAGGGTGCATATGCAAGAGCAAGATATAGAATTGGATTAGCAAACCCTTTCTTTTTTATTATTTATTTATAAAAATGGTTTCATTAGAGCCAATGATAACAAATGTGATGATGAACTGATGATAATGCAGTAAAGAAGTAACCTTCATATATGATAGGCTCATCTTTGGATTCTAGCAAATTGTAGCCAATTTGGGAACAAACAGATATTCATATACAGTCTACTCTAGACTCGATTTGGGGGCAAACAATATTGAATTATGAAATTCTCACAAAGATAAAATCAAATCTTTTTGCTTGTTTGAATCGTGAATGTCTTTGATGGGCTAGACAACATTTTTCTATGACTTATTACAAAACTTCAACTAAAAAAATTGGTCAATTAGTAGATTTAGGAAATGAAAGTAACAGAAATTTTCAAGGATTATCCAACCAAAATGGAAGTACAACAAAGTAGGGGTGATAAACGAACCAAACAACTTGAGTTTGACTCGTGTTCAGCTCGTTAAAAGCTCGTTCAAGTCCGGTTTGTTAGGTAAACAACCCAATCTTGAACATATTTTGCAGCTTGTTAAAATTTTCAAACTAAGCTTGAATAGACAATTGCTTGTTTAGCTCGGTTCGATATGTAAGACTAAATTGATTATTTGAGATTGGCTCAAAAGTCTAACAAACTAAGCTTCAATAAATTTTGAAACTGTTAAGGTTTTCAAATCAACAGTTAATTGTTCTACTCATTTATCACCCCTACAGACAAGGAACTAGAATTGAACAAGGAAAATTCACCACCATATCTGCATATTCAAAAAAATTTACTCCACATCAAATTCAATTTCTTTAAATCACCTTTAATTAATTGGAGGAATTTCAAATAAATGCAAAATTAGAAAACTAATTACAAATCAGTGGAAGCGCAAGTGAGAGTTGTGCCTGAGGCACATGTCTCACTCACACTCCAGTTATTTGCAATTAGTTTTCCGATTTTCCATCTATGGGATATTTTCCCCAATTAATTTATACCTCCTTGTTCACATGCATATATGTACATACATATTCTATGCACACTTCCACTGAAGCCAAACAAACGATTATTTCCATGAAAGGGAATAGAAGCAGGTTATGATCCTCATATATTGAAATTAACAGAGGAAGACAGTACTTTCAAACAAACAAATACATAAATTTAACCAAAGTCAGATTGCGACCAACCTATATAATCTCATGGAGTTCACAATCCCAATTGAGTTATTTCGCAAGAAAAAAAAAAAAAAAAAAGAATAAAATCATTTGATCATCAGAACCCCAAAAATAGCTAGGTAATGATCGTCTAGTTTTCATCTTGAAAATTGAGATTGAATTGAGTTTGTGAATAAACCCAAAACGAAACAACAAAGTAGAATCAAAACCCAAGAGAGAGAGAAGACTCACATGCGATGGTGGCAATGAAAGGAAGGAGGAAGAACAGAGCTCTGCTCCAGCGCTTCTTGTTGGCCAACCCATAATCAGTGGCCAAAAGTGGAGCATCTATGCTCTGCTTACCCATCATCAGTCTCGCACAACAAAGGAGGAGATAGAAAGAGAGGAGAGAGAGGCGTGTGAGACTGTTAGTTGGTACAATGTGGGTGATTGAGGCTGGTTTGTTTGTTTTTGTTTTTGTGGGCACCAAATGTTAAATGGAATCTGAAACTGACACAAAAAAGAGAATTTGGTTTAGATTCTCTCTCCAAAACTATATCATCAAATCAACCAACCACAAAACTATAAAATATCTCTCTTCAGCATACAAGGTTACACACCTGTATATATAAGGGTAATTGATTGAAATGGTGGGGTTTTGTTATGGTCATCTTTCAATTTGCAAAATTTGTGTTAGACAGGTTAAAAATGACCAACTGTGCTAGGGACTCAGTGGGGTTGCTGACCCCACTGACATTTCTTTGGTTTGGTTTGGTTTGTTTTGTTTTGTTTTGTTTTATTTTTTTTCTTTTTCCTTTTCAGTCACCCACCCCATGTGGGACTGGGGTCACTGGGAGTGGAAAAGTACAGGATCTGGGGCATTAATAAAAAATGACATGTCAAACTTGACTTGTTGACAACTCAAAACGTGATTTTAATTTTCAAAAATGATTGAGACATTTCAGTGTATATTTATAAATAAATATATAAAAACAAAATTAGAATAATTACAAAAAAAAAATTATTTGGTTTGAGATTTGTAACAAAATAAATTTTAAATTTTGTCAATTTAAATCCCAATATTTTGATTTACTTTTAATTTAAACCATTTGTTTATTTTTATTAAGTAAAATTGACAAAAAAAATTAATATTTTAATTATTAAACTCAATATAAATATACATAAAATGTCAAAAATATCATTTTTATTGAGTTTAATGACTAAAATATCATTTTTTGTTAATTTTACTTGATAAAAATAGGCAAATAATTTAGATTGAAAACAAATCAAAAGTTTGATATTTAAATTGATAAAATTAAAAACTCAAAGTTTAATTTGTTAAAAGGGTCAGATTGTTTTCTTTTTTTTTTTTAATTTCTCCTAAAAAATTTAAACTAGTGATAAATTTTAATAAGTAAAGTTATATAATTTTTCATGAGTTAGAAATTATTTTGAAAAAAAAAATAATTGATTTGTAAATTCTCCTAATTTTATTCTTGCTAGAATAATCACAGAAGCTATGTTTTATGAAATTCTTTTTATGTATGTTCCTGTAATGTAACATGTAACCATTCTGAAACAGAAGTTTATACATAATGGAAAGCATAAGAAGTAGAGAAATGCGTGAGAGCTCGAAATTGCAACGGCTCAAATGCCCCGAATGCCAAAACGACGTCGTTTTGGCAAATTTTTTTTTTCCTCGTTTATATCTAAAACAGAGGGGGAGGGCAAGAGAGAGAGAGAGGAAGAGAGACAGAAATAGAGAGAGAGAGGCGACAGTGATGGTGGGGCGACGTTGATGGAGGGTTTGCGACGGTGAGCAACGGTGATGACGCCACTTTCAGACTCTGTTTTCTCTTTTTTTTTTTTTTTTTCCCTAAGTAGATCTGCGACGTCCTTTCAAGAAATGTGTATAACACTAGTCTTGATGCCTTCCTCTTCGGTTTGAGTATATGGCCAACCTGTTGAATGAGCCTCGTCAGCGTCCTCTCTCTCACTCTCTCTACTCTATTCTTTTTTCTTTTTTCTTTTTTTGAAATGAAATGTCAGTTTTGTAAGGGATAACCTGTGTACAAAGAATGGGGGTGGGTATACAAAGAAATTCGGGCCTTTCGACCCACGACATTTCGAGCTACAAAATGGAGTTGCGGTTGCAATTACTTCTTACAACCCCGCTACGTAGCTCGAAATGCTCATGGCTCGACTGGTCCGAAAATCAAAACGACGTCGTTTTGATTTTCGGGCCAGTCGAGCCACGAGCATTTCGAGCTACGTAGCGGGGTTGTAAAAAGTAATTGCAACCGCAACTCCATTTTGTAGCTCGAAATGTCGTGGGTCGAAAGGCCCGAATTTCTTTGTATACCCACCCCCATTCTTTGTACACAGGTTATCCCTTACAAAACTGACATTTCATTTCAAAAAAAAAAAAAAAAAACAAGAATAGAGTAGAGAGAGTGAGAGAGAGGACGCTGACGAGGCTCATTCAACAGGTTGGCCATATACTCAAACTGAAGAGGAAAGGCATCAAGACTAGTGTATTACACATTTCTTGAAAGGACGCCACTGTTGGTTGGCCAAAGTGAGAGAGAGGACGCTGTTGCTGCTGTGTGTGTCGAAAGGTGTCGTCGCTGCTCCTTGATTCATGCTTCTTATGATCATTTTCTGTTGCTTATGATTGATGCTGCTTATGATTCATGGTCCTTGACCCATTAGTTGGTTTTGTTTTTAATTTAGGGTTTCACATTTAACTCTGCAAAAATGTTTTGTGAAAAATTAATCCATGAAAAATGTTCTGTGACAAATTCAGACATTGCTGTTATGTGAAAAATCCATGATTAATCCATGAACATTGTTGTTTTGTGAAAAATCCATGATTAATTTTGACCCTATGTTTTTAAAATCTCATAACTCATTGATTCAATGTTCCTTAGTTCAATGTTCTTTGAAAAATTGATGAAATGTTCCTGAACTTCATGAAATATTCCTATGTTAAATAATTTCAAAATTAATTCAATGAATAATTCAATGTTCTGTGTGTGAACATTTATAATAATCATGGATTTATGAAATGTTCCTTAATTCAATGTTCTCTGAGAAATGTTTCTTTCATAATTCTTTATGCAAATGAACAAGCCCCAATGCTAACTACTTGGGGTTGGTTGTACATGGAAAGAAATATCCTTGATCAAATTCAAAATAATAGTTTCAAATATTTTCAAGGAACTTTGATTTGCTAGATTAATTTTGTAACAATGATATATAAACTAAAGTGCGTATCTTCATTTGCAGCTATGTGATGGACCTATTGTTGCCTTCACTGTCCTTCACAATGTGTGTTGTAATCATGGCCTTACACATGTTACCTCATAGGTAGGAAAGTGCACTGTTCATTGATTTTTCCTGTTGGTTTCTACATCATTTAAATTTTACCCTTGCTTCACGTTTTCTATAATCAGATTCATTGAAGGGCACTCCACATCAAGTCACTTACTTTGCTGAGCAGAATCTATACCCACTTATAGTTTCAGTTCCAGTAAGTGGATTCTCTTGTTTTTATAACATAAATGTTACTAGTATCTGCTTGTTCCTTGTGTTATGATAATCTCTTATGTTTTTTTTTTCATGCTGCCTATGATAATTTGTGCTCTCTTAATGTCTATTTTGTTCTATTTTACTTTGAAGCTACAATGGATATTGATTCAATGAATAATTCATTCAATGTGAGTGAGGAAGTTGAAGAACAAGACAACAATGTTGAATTTAATGAGAGGTGAAATTGAAGAATCGAAGAAGGGGATGTATTTTATCTCAAAGCAAGAAGTATACACATTTCATGCAAAATATGCGAAACAACTTGGATTTGCTATAGCTTATAGAACACAAAATGTAACAAGGGATGGGGAAGTAAAGTACTTTGAAATTGAATGTACTCGAGCGCGGATAAAACAAAAAGATCAGAAGTAAATCCCCTCGAACCATCTTTGTCGTCAAAAATAGATTGTAAAGCAAGGGTTAGAGCCACTCTATAAAAAGATGGAAGATATAAGTTAACCACGGTTGTGTTTGAGCACACTCATGATTTGATTCCGATTGACTCACGGCATTTTCCAATGAATAAGAGGATTCTTACTTTGGTGAAGAGGAGACTGGAAGTTAATGATGCAGCAGGGATTGAGGTGGCTAGGAATTTTCATTCCATAGTTGTCGAAGCGGAGGGGTATGGGGCATTAACGTTTGATGAACAAGATGCAAGGAATTATATTCAGAATGTTAGAAGATTGAGACTTGGGGTAGGAGACGCCGAATCAGTTACATTTTATTTTCATAAAATGCAATAACAAAATTCGAACTTCTATTTGGCAATTGACCTTGATGAAGATGGTCGCATGCGAAACTTGTTTTGGGCGGATGCAAGGAGTAGGGCGGCTTATAAAGCATTTAGGGATGTTGTCTCTTTTGACACAACCTATTTGACAAACAAATATGATATGCCATTTGCTCTGTTTATAGGAGTTAATCACCATGGACAGTCAAATTTGTTTGATTGTGGGTTGTTAAGTAATAAGAACACAGAGACATTTGTTTGGCTATTCAAAGAATGGTTAAGTTGCATGTCAGATGCTTCCTCAAAAGCGATAATAACTGATTAATGCAGAGCTATGCAAAATGCCATAGAAATTGTCTTCCTACAGGCTCGGCATCGTTGGTGTTTATGGCATATTATGAAGAAAATTCCAGAAAAATTGAGAGGATATTCCGAATATGAGTCCGTAAAGGTTGCTTTGAGTAATGCAATTTATGATTCATTCACAAAAGATGAATTTGAGGAATACTGGAAAGCAATGATTAAAAATTTCAATTTGAATGATAACGAGTGGTTGGGGGTATTATACCGTGAGCAACATAGGTAGATTCCTACCTATGTTAAAGACATATTTTGGGTTGGCATGTCAACTACACAACGAAGTGATAGTATGAATGCATTCTTTGATGGATATGTGAACTCCAAGACAACCTTAAAGCAATTTGTTGAGCAGTATGACAATGCGTTGAGAAGTAAGATAGAGAAGGAGACAAAAGCAAATTTTAAGTCTCGTAACAAATTGTATGATTGCTTAACGATGCATCATTTGAGAAGCAATTTCGTGCAGCTTACACTAATTCCAAATTTAAAGAAGTTCAACTAGAAATGAAGCATCTAGTGTATTGTCGTGCAAATCTTATCAAAAAGGAGGGAGCAATTTGTACCTATCATGTGAGGGAAGCTGTTGTTGTGGGTGAGGGGATGAAGAAAGTGGAATTTGTTGTGTATTTTAATTCAACTAAATGTGAGCTCCAATGTATGTATCGTTTGTTTGAGTTTAGAGGTATTATGTGTGCTCATTCACTTTGTGTGCTCATTGAGAGATCTATATATGAGGTGCCAAATAAATATGTTGTTTCGAGATGGAGAAAAGACTTGGAAAACGGCTACACATGCATTCCAACCACATATACTAACTTTGGCTCTTCTCTACATCCAAAGTTGCATGATAACTATCACAACACGTTGGATG